GCCTATGATGAATGTTTTTAGGAAATAAGGTCTTAAACAAAAATAAATATCCCTAAATACTGAATAAATAGATAAATACTGCCTTAGTTTCTGAACCTGCCTTGCTTAAAGATGAAGCATCTACATTTTGTTCCTTTTAGAAGGAAATTTGAGTTAAAATTTTTTAAGCATTAAATAGAAATTAAATCATTTAATTTTATCAGCCCTGCTTTTATATTCTTGAAAGTAAGTTTTACTGTTGTAATATCCAGGAAATAAAACTTTTAGCAGTAAATTTTTTGATGGTAAAATGGCATTAAGGGAACAGGATTTTTCTTAAAATGATAATTTGGTCTATAGAATCCTAGCAAAATAAAAACATCCTGACGAAGATCTTTATTCCATTCTTGCAGAACATCTGATGTTTCCAGTCAATATCATCTTACTTTAAGTCCAACCGATGGTCATCTTTATATCTCCTCTCCAGAACATCATAAAATTTTACGAGTTCATTCATTAGATAAAGTAGAAGATCCTGACTCCAATTTTGATGTTGTAGTAGGCAGCGGAGTAAGATGTTTACCTCGAGACAAAAACAATTGTGGAGATGGAAAACCTGCTTTAGAAGCATTTTTGTCTTATCCTAAAGGTAAGTCTCAACATTTACACCATTTTCAACAAAATGATTTGTAGCACTTGATCATGCAAAATGATAAAACATTGATTGTTGCATTTCTTCAATATAGAGATTCACATCAATGAATTCATTCATTTCAATTTAAAAATTTCAATTTGACCCATATTCCTGAAATAAACGTGTGCAACTTTGTAAGCAACAATTTGATTGTAAAAATCACATCACTATCGCCATGCAGTAGAAAAGGACTATATCCCTACCAGCAAAATAAGTTTGGCCCACATTGATCTAATATTCACGAATCTTGGCTCAATACGGGTTCAAAGAGCCGTTATTTTCCTGATACTAGCCCTACATAGAATTGCCCGATTTACCCAATATTTTACCCCCACGTTTCAACCAATATCGGCCCTATATAGAATTATGAGATTCACCCGATATTCATCAATCAGCCAATATAGGCCCTATATTGGCTCCATAAAGGCATAAATTGACCCTATATAGGACCAATATATAGACTTCCCTACATTGATTCCTTGGTGCATTTTTATATAGGACTGATATTGAGTTAATTTTGAACCCTACTGGGTAAAATTCTTGTTGGAGGTTTTCAACAATTGCCAAAATCAACCTTCAAAACTCATATGCTTTTTATGTTTGTTGCAGATATGCAACGTGATGAGGTTTTTTACAGCAACTTAGCGTTGTTTTTCTAGGTATGGCAGTAGCTGTGGATAATACGTTATATTTTGCTGATGGAGCTAATATTCGAATCGTTAATAATCAAGGAATCATACACACTCTTATTGGAGACCATCATCATAAAAAACAATGGAAACCTATACCATGTTCAGGAACTCTGAAAATCGAAGAGGTAAACCATTTGTTTTTCATCAACCAACGTTAAGAATATCATTCGATCAAATGAATTTTTTGTATCCCTGCACAAAATTAGCAATAAATGAATCTCGGTTTGTTCAAAAAGATTTTTATATATTTAAAATAGTTGTAAGCTTCCTTCTCTAATTAATATGTTTCAGCTTTATAATACAGATACAATACGTAGTATATATTGATGATTAAGTTAATTAATTAATAAGAAGTTTCTTGAAATGCAAAAAAAACTAATAAAAAGCCCGTAAAAAATAGGTTTTCAAAACCAAGTGCGAAAATGGAAGAAATTCTCTTCAAAAAAGAAATAACGAGCATTAAATTAAAATTTTAAAAAATTTATAATTGCAATCTAGTTTAGATATAAGAAAAATTTAACTCCCAAATCATTTCATAAATTTCTTTTAAGAAAGTGAAAATTAAAATGCAAAAATTGGAAATCTAAATAAGTTTACTGACTTTCATATAAAATTAGAACTACGGCTTCTTTCAATTTCTTACATAAAGTAGTACAATCGAATTTCATTTAATAATTATGTAAAGAATTCTTAAAATACCGCAATCAAATATGTAATGTCTTAAATTATAAATCACACATTGTATTCATAATTACAAATTGCATATTCACCTTCATTACTAGAACTCAAAACAATTTTAAGATAGTATACTGAGGATATTTATGAGTTTTGTCGTTGTTTCTAAGCCACTTGACAAATGCCAACTAGTCTGCTTGGTAAATTTAAGGCAGAGGGTGCGTTTCTTGTTTTCAGTGGCGCCATCTATGACCAAAAATACGTCTTCAATAATATCTGAATTGAAAATTATGAAGAAAAAAATTCATAAACATTTTAAAATATAGTATTGATGTTAAAAGTTTTTAAATATAAATGTTAGAGCTCACATTCGATACAGTATTTTGCATAGGATTTGCAATAATTGTAACTTTAGTTTTAATTATTTTTTGTTGAATTTTATGAAAATTAATTTAATAATAATATCTAAAATTACTAAAATATACATTTGCATTAAAAAAAAACTCGCAGTGAAAATTTATCATATCAAAAAAGTTAAATTAATTAAAATTACTTTATAATTTTTTCCATGTCTTTTAAAGTTTAAGGAGGATTTAATGTTATGAATAATTTTTAAACAACAATTTTATAATGTCAAATTAATAAATTGTTTCATTCCACAAAATTTCTATGACTTACAAACTGTTAATTACATGACTACATTCATTATTTATTTTTTAGGTAAAACTTCGATGGCCAACAGAATTAGCAATCAATCCCTTAGATGGTGCACTATATTTTATAGATGATCATATGGTACTTAAGTTAACTCACGATAAACGCATTATGGCCGTAGCTGGTCAACCTGCGTATTGCAAAACTAATAACTTGCACAAATCACGGATGACGGGTGAATCTGCTTTAGGATCTTTAGTAAGTTTCACTTTTGGCCCAGCTGGAGAGTTGTATATTGCAGAGGTCAACGCCAATAATGTCAACAGGTAATTTCTTTATTGCTTTGTAGGAATTAGTGCAAAATATAGAATTATGAAAATATCCCAAATTTTCGACTTATAGTAAATCGTGTGCTCTGTTGTATTAACAAATGCACTTTCAATGTTCATAAGACAGTGAACTCTCGCTACTACGATATCCAATACAACAATAACTCCCTTTATTGCGACAATGTTTAATGGTCCCGACAAACTTGCATATGAATTAATGTCCTCTCAATATTGCGATATTCTCTGAAACAATAAACCCCTGTAAAACGACTTTTTTCCAAATTTCAACCTTATTTTCTCCATTTTTTTATTGGTTTTCAAATAATGTAAAAAATATTATTTTATAATCTGTTTTTTCCATCTTTTGTGACAAGAGAAGACTCACCGGTGACCATCCCGAGAGTTTCCATTCTTAGAATTGGCTGCCTTATCTCGTAAGAAGTCACAGATTCATTTCCTTGATGTTAAAAGTCACATTAACACCTGAAAGAAAGGGTGGGTGGAGCACCATTCACGTACCAAAATTATTTTCGTGCTTTGCATACTTCGTTGGTTGACTTGACAGTCAGAAAAAGGAATAAACAGACTAAAATATGAGATCATTTTCAATAAAAATGCCTTATTTTCTCAGTTTATTTAAATTGTTTTTAATATTTAACCATAATCTACAAATTAATTTTTAGCATAATATATAAATCAATTATAGTTAAAACATATAAAATTAAAAAATCTTACCGTGTCCCAAAAACATGTTGGCTCTCGATATGCAACACTATATTTATTTGGTCCCCAAAATATTGTTGTAATGAGGTTTTACTATATAGAAAGAAAAAAAGTCATTCAAAAAGCCTCGAGTTCTTTTGGGAATTTCTTTCTATTGATAATAAGAGAGTTCTATAAATAGACTAGAATTCCTTTGGAATGTTTTTGGGCAAATTTTTGAAAATGAAATAGCTTCAAAAATTGATCATTGTTGGTGATTGATTTTTGGTGTGTATTATAGTTGAGATTGAATTTATATTTTGTCCATTGAGGGTATTATTACAGATCCCTTCCCTGATTATCCCGAGTTATTTCGGGTATGTATAGATAGCAAATATTTATTATCCCGAGTAAACTCGGGCATAGCAGAATTCATCAATACGTTTTTGCTCGACCAGAAGCAATAAGGCAAAAAATAATGATAACCTGTAGTGATTAGAAGTTTGCCAATTTTTGTTTGGAAGTTTTGCTGTTTGTGAGACTGCAGACGTGTTTTGTGCAATTGTGTATGCAATGGTTGGTGAATTTACATAGAAAAAGGAGTTAAAAAATGGCTCTCGAGAGTGAAAGTAATGCAGATGATTTTTCAGATTATGAAGATGTGAACATATACAACGACTCATATTTAACTTTTTTCATTTACCCGAGATAATTTGGGATAGTAAACTGATGGAAAATTAAATATTTTTTGCACATAAAAAAATTTAAATTTCAGCTTAGAACTTGTGTATTATGTTTTGTTTTAATTTTATTGTATTTATTAATGAAATGAAAAAATATGTTGATTTTTTGCATTTTTTTTCTTCAAAAAAATTGGTAAGGTAAGCGGTTAATGAAACTAAGGAAAGGTTTGTTAATTTGAATTTTTAAATGAAATATTTTTATTTTTTTTAATCAAGTAAACTAGCTTTCAAATACGATCATTTTAAAGTTTTCATTTAAATCATACATATGCACTAGGAAAAAATGCTTTATTAAAATTGAAGTCAACTAATCCGTTGACTTTACTAGTTTATTATTAGTTTAACTGTACCATAAAAATATGTTAAAAATTCTTTATAGTATATATTTTATAATATCATAAATAGGTTTTATATCTCTCATTTGTTTACTAATTCGTAATTTAGGTCAAATACTTAAAAATTAAAATATTTTTTTTACAAGATAACAGACTTGATTTTCAGTAACAAACTTGCTATTGCGTTATAGATCTGAGATAATTTGGTGAGCAAGTATCATGTGTAAAAATTGGTAGTCATTCCGTGGGAAGGATTGTTACGAAGTCTTTTTTCTTCTTAATACCGCCAGATGACGGCGTTCTTTTTAAATCTGTTGGTCTGCTTAATGTCAATAAACTCTTACTTTTTGTCTGAATCTCGATCTAAAATAAAGATTGATAAGCAAATCGCAAATTTAATGAATTAAATTTATCACATTTAAATTTTTTATTAAGAAATTTGTTACCACTATCATGCATTAAGCCTTGTTATGGAAACAAGGCTTAATGCATGTTAGTGGTAACACATTTCTTAATATAATATCCTTCTACAGGTTCTGGAGTTAGGTGAAATTTGTATCGGTTTTCGTTCCCCTTGTATGAAAGAAAATTATGAAAACGTAGAGAAACTAAAACAAATATGAAAGAAGCTTATGGAATTGGATTAAGCCTTAAGAAATTTTCTAGGCTTAAAGCACTAGCAAAATACGCCGTTTTTTTCTCTCCTCAAAATAGCTAACATTCATTCTTTTTTCAGTTACAATTTGACGCACTTTTCTGAGCTTATGTCTGGAAAAGCAATTATTATTATTTTTTACATCATCATTTGTAACATACGAAATCTGAGAGAAAATCACTCTACTTCAAGGACGTGCAAATAAATCGCTACCTTAACGGTTTCAAATTATTTTTCCCTTAAAATTAGAAGATATTACTTAGTCCAATAAATTATAAAACATTCAAAATTTTGTTATTTCTACCCTTCTGAAATAATTTTTAAAAGGCTACAATTAACAAAGTTTTGAATCGATCAAAACTTGTTGAACGAAGACAAATATACTTGGGAAAACAAGGAGTACTTATTTTATTCAACAGTTTTTATGTGATCCCTAAATAAAAAAATGATGTATATACAGTCACTGGCCAAATTATTAGACTCACTATAAGATTCTATGTAAAATCTTAATTATCAGGTGATATACAGCTTTATAGGTTTTAAGCGGCTGAAACCGGTTTGCACTAGTTTAAGTTCGTGTATCAATTGGTTAAATTAGACGATATATAGTATAAATTTGACGATTGGATAAATTAGACGATATATTATATAAATATAGGATATTTTCTATATCAGGTATCATATTAGTATATTATAATAATTAGACCAAATTATTCGACTCACTGTAATTTTTTTTAATAATTACGTGTTTTACAAGGTTTTACAGGGGAGGGTTTATATGAAATACTTTTATATTTAAACAAACATGTAATGGATTTTTATTCCGGAGATCTTTTATAAACTTTCTATTTGTATTTAATTTCAAAGTATTGCATTACAATGTTAATCAATTGATACACGAAAGTAAACAAGTGCAAACAACGTAAAAACTATAAAGCTGTGTAGTATGACATGATAATTAAGATTTTACATATAATCTTATAGTGGCCAGGGATTGTGTATGATTTAAACAATATTATTTAAATTGATTTACTCTAATATTTTAGGGTACGGAAATTAAGTTCAGATGGAGAGTTATTACATTTTGCTGGCAAAGAAGAGAATTGCTTATGTGAATGGCAAAATTGTAGTTGTGCTGTTGAAGATGAAGGATTCCTAGCTATGGACACTAAATTATTTACTATTTCATCTTTAACTGTAACAAGTGATGGTGTCGTTCACATAGCAGATCAAGGCAGTTTAAGAATCTTATCTGCAGTTCCTTATTTACCACAGCCAGATGAACAGTTTGAATTTCAAATTGCATCTCCTGAGCATCATGAAATTTATGTCTTTAACAAATATGGTCAACATTCGGTAACACGCAGTATTTTAACGGGAAAAACTGTCTATACCTTTCTTTATAACGTCAATACTAGTTTTGGAAAATTAAACGCTGTAACTGATGCTTCAGGGAATAAAGTATCCTTCTTACGAGATTCAGGAAACAGCTTGCATACAATCGAAACTGCGAGAGGAACTAAATGCCGTGTCCAAGTCACAAAACAAGGCTTATTAGAAAAAATTGTTGATCCCGATAGTTTAGAAATCAAATTTATGTATGATACTATAGGACTTCTTACAAGTCGTTCAGATGCTGCTGGTCGTTCTTTTTTCTATGTTTATGATGAAAATGGGAGATTAACTGATGTTATTAAACCGAGTGGACAAGTAACCAAATTATCTTTTGATCTAAGTCCAGATGGAGCGTCAGTCTTCTCACATTATGAAGAAAATACAAGTCAATTAATTGTTAAAGTAAAGGGTACAACTGTCATTACCACTCAATGTAAGTATTAGACACTAAACTAGATAGCCTAACTAATTACACTGCTGCTCTAGAACTACTGAACCCATTTTAATGCATTGATACAATACAAGATAGATAACCATTCAAAAATTGTTGGAGTCGGAAGGTAAGAAACAGCAATATCAGAACAAACAATCGGTCCCTATTACAGAGACCTTACAGCGTGATTTCATGCTTGAAATAAGGCGGTTTATCATTTCCTCTGGCAATTGGCCTGAATTGTTTCTAGGCAATTTTATACCTCCAACGAGTGTTACGCACGATCATGCGTGTGTATTGCAATTATTGAACGGTTATCTGTTGTGTATTGTATGTACGCATCAAATTTCATTAAAATCGGTCCAGTAGTTCTTGAGATAATCGACCATGTCTGCAAATTCTCTTAATTTCTTACATCAATGTATGTTGCTAATTTAAGTTCTATTAAAAGTTTAAATTATGTTAGAGAAATGCATAAACATTTCTCCAATTCAATTAAATCAGTTTAAATAATTTTGTATTTCAGAAATTCGGTTTATATTTTTTTTAGTTTTGGTGTTCTTTACAAATGCAGTCAACCCTAGTTTAACTCTTGCTTCATGGCGGTCACTTCATCATTTTTCTGATTTTGACATTTCTTTTACCAAAAATTTTTCTTATTTTTGAAACGAATATTTGCCCTATTTCATACTATCCAATAAGTTCTCTTCTATTTCGTGACATGCAATTTGACTAAGTCACATAATCACTTTTAACTCTCCCCTTTTCGTAGTCTAAATTATACAAAAATATCTTCGAATAAAAGGAAGCGAGAGAAGTTCTTGAAATGACAAGTAGGACTTCAACAAAGCTATAAGAATTAGTGCGTGTTACCATGAAATGGAGGTAAATTGTATCTAGATATAGTGTGTCTACCACTACAGAAATACAATTCCAATTCACGAGTATACAAAACATGTTAACTCAATTCTATGTTGGAGTACCTTTTCATAGGTGATGGTTGACATTGCCTGATGCTCTTTACCCACATGTGAAACCCGGATGTGATTGGAAACGCTCACTTCGATTTGAACACGCCTACTTCGATGGATGCTCTACATTGAGCAGTTGACTTGCTACTTTTGACTGCAACATTACCCACCTCCTCATGCTGTTGTTACTCAGTCTCGATCTCACACAACGTCGGCCTGTATATACTCGACTGCTAATATCAACACAGGAGCGACCACGACCGTGAACTTAATGCAGCTCTCGCGTTCAGCACTCAAAAGTGCGGTGATGTTAATGCAGCTCGTGGTTGCTCCTGTGTTTCCTTTAGCAGTCGAATGTATTCGTTGTACGTAATCGAAACTAAGAAACAACAGCTTGGTGGGGTATCTTTGCATATAATCTAGTTAACATGTCTAATATACTAGTGAATTGAAATTATATTTTTGTAGTGGTAGATATACTACACTACAATAGATGTTTGTTTCCAAGAAAAAGCCAAATAGCCTTCTTTATTTGCCTTCGTAATGCAATAATATTTTGTTCCACTTAATAATTCTATTTTGGTTCGATGCATTTAATAAAGTTTATACAATTCAGATGGTGTTCCTATCCAAGCAACTCTACATCAAGATGGTGCTATTGAAATAGAAACTCCTTGGCATGTTGGTCTAGTTTGGGAACCGGCTTCACACCATGTCCTTCAAGAAATGTTACCAGTACAAGCTGGTATGTTTCCTCTTCCAGTTCGACAAACTACGTATGTTGGACTCGAACCTGCTAACGTTCTCGAATGGAGATATGATGTCAAATACAATAAAAGAGCAAGAGTTGAAAGAAGCATATCAGCTGTTGAGAGAGTGCTAATGGTAAATAGTATTATATTTTTAATTTTAGATAATGAAAGATAGAAACTAAGATTTTTCTACTTATTCTTAGGCAAATGAAATTCAGTACTTAACGATGGAATATGATTGGGTAGCTGCGAGAGAAATCCTTTATAATAGTTCTAGAAGACCTTTCCTAGTCATCCAATACGACAGCTTTACTCGTCCTATTCAGTGGCTTCCGACAGAAAGTCGTCTTCCTCTCAATGTCATGTATGATCGCCTCGGCCGACTGTCAGGCTGGCAGCAGGGAGCTCTATCGGAGAGTTTTGGTTATGATAGAATGAGTCATTTGGCTGAAATTAAATATCCAGATAGCACGACTATGAGGTTTAGTTACAGTGGAAAAACTATGGTAATTGAAATATTTTTGTCATTACCAAATATTTATAAACAACTCTATATTAAAACACTGGTTGTTCTTTTCGCATAACCTTTAGTTTACAAATATTTTTTTATCATAATTGTAAAAAATAAGTTTAATAACTAACCATTCCAGTAATATAGGATTTTACGGTTAATTATGATCATTAATTAATACTAATTAGATATTGTAGTTTCTTATTAAAACTGAGCAATTTCTCAGTTATTCGAGCAAATAATCTATTTATTATGATTGTGCAAACAGATTACAAGTTGTTTGTTAAGGTATTAAATTGGTGCATACGAAATGGCGGATTTTTTAAATTTTTACATATGAAGGTTTGTCGCCTGATTTTTCAATATGCTTTTGATTTTGACTTCGTCTATAGTCGTAATGTTCAATGCACGTGTCATATTTCAACAAAGAAGATTTTCTCAAAAGTGTTTATTTTTGTTGTTTATTTCGAATTTTGTAAGGATATGAATTCAACCGATATTCGCATAAATTTTTACATGAGTGTAAACATGGCTGCCAAACCAGTCAGTTTGGGGGCTAATACAGTTAACAATGAAACAATGTTTTGATTTTTCCCTACAAAAAGAACAGCGAGGAAGACGTCTATAAAATTGCTCTAAAAGCATTGGCAAAAATGAATTTATCTGTTATGACAAGAATTCTTGCAATCAAAATGAAAGGTGACTAAACAATATTGCCACAGCATTCTGAAGCTGAAAGCATGAATAAGTGGGCAACGCGTGAATATACCAATCAAAATAAGTCGAATCAATGGCGTCAGCTAATCATTACTAACCTGATTTCATTGAGAGCCATTTTTGAATTACCTTTAATGTGATTGCCATCGGCGAAAAATCCGGTGCAGCACCCAGCTTATTCACCGGATCTTTCACCGACCGAATTTCATTTTTCGAAACATTAAGATAAGTTTTTAGGGGATAATTAGTATAGAAAAGAAGAATTTATCGACTTTAAAGATCTCATTAAGACAGATGCATGAGCAAAATGTACTGAAACAAATGAAAAATATCAAATAATCAGCTTTTGAAAAAAGCACTTAAATATCAGACAATTCCTTAACCTAATGAAATATATTTATTAAACCTTTTTTTTTTCAAAGTATTCTGACTGTATCCTTGAGATTAATTAGTTCAATAAAAAGCGAAATTAGTTTAGAAAAATATACTCAATGCAAAACTACTTTTATTATTTTGATTCTTCACTAATACTAATTTTTGTTGTCCTAAAACTAAAACCGTGTCTCATCATTACGAATCATAAAAAAGTTTATTGTTTTATCTAAGAAATTTTAAGTGTATATTTTGGTAACATAATTTGTCGTTGAAAGAATTAGCAAGGAATCATCTAATAATTGGAGCTTTTCTTAATTTAATTAGATTAATTATTTCATTTATGAATAAAAATGTATTTATTATTGAAATGTTTTCTATTCATTTGTTTCATTTCTCGATTTCAAAAACACGTCAAAAAGTTTTATAAAAGTATATACATGTATTGGAACTTGAATTTTATACCATTGGTCTTACATGAGTTTAAAATAGAAATTTTTAGAAAAACTTATTGTCAAAATATTTTTAAAAAAAACATTTCTAGTAAAAAGTAGTTTCTAGTACAGAAATGTAATAATTAACAGTTACTGTCTACCACAGAAGTTTAGCCCAATTTGAAATTCTTCTATAAGTTTAAAAATTACAGACTTTTCCCCAATTATTTTACTGTAATTATAATAAACAGATATGAAGAGATTCGAAGTGAGAGAAAAGCAATAGCTAAAAAATTAGAACTGAAAAAATAATAATACATTAAATAAAAAACTACCAGGGATTAATTTTTGTTTTACCTGTCAACTATAAAAGCAATTTATGTACTCTGGTACATCTCCGGAATAAAGTATCAGAACAAATTACCATCTGAGGAAGCTCTTCGAATTTGCATAGGAATTAATTCTTTATCGTCAAAAAAAGGCCAATTTACTTAAAATTATTAATTGATTAAGTATAATGGGGTTCCTTAAATTGTCCATGGCTTAGCTGATGACTTAATACTTAGATCCCATCAATGCTTAGTTTCTTAAGGTGATCCTCTGATCGACAAATTTGTGCAACATATGTCATTAAATATATCCAGCTTTGTCGTGTTCATTGTTTTAGCGTATCTTAACACCATCAGAGAAGATTCTTCGTGTAATCAAATAACAAAGACAGTTCTTGGAGTTCCTTTACACTACTTTTCGTGTATAGAAGTTGGTAGTTATTTTAGGAGTTCCTTAAAATAAAATTAGTTTAAAAATTAAGCATGCATATAACACATAGAGAACATTACGATGAATTCGAACTAAGCGTAATAGAAAAGATGCGAAAAAATTTTAAAATTACTTAAAACAATTGACTGATATTTAACAATTAAAATATCTTTGATACACAACTAAAAACATTTTATAAGGGGGAGTTTTCGTTTCTGTAGATTATAAATGCGGCAACAAATTCCAGTAATGATATCCGAAGTACACCGATCCACAAATGGTATTAATGTGAGTGGATTCTCAGTTATTGGATTTTACTACACCCTTTAAGGTTACAGTGGACTCGTTTTTCTTAAGCAATAATTTTACATTGCTGTATCTTGCAGGGATTGTTAGAGAGAGATAATAATTTGATTCATGCTATAACATGAAAAATTTAAATTTTTTCAAAAAATAAGCTTCTTTTTTTCTTCAAATGGTAATGAAAACATTTACAAATTTTTCTACTAATTTCCATGCAGAGTAGAAAAATCAAGTTTCGGCAATAAAAATAAGTTAATAAATAAATAAAAGAAATTTTAAAAAAACGCCCCTCTATAAACGTTTTGGAACATTGAAATGACTATAAAATGTGTTGTGGCAACTTATATTAAAAAGTTTTTTTATTGATCTAGAGATTGTCAAAAAAGTTTCATGGAATAGTCATGAAAATTATAGCACATGGAACTATTTCCAGTTCGATGCAAAATTTTTGTTTTGAGACACACTCAGAATAACAAGTTTTTGTTATAAATTACACTAATATTGTCAAATGTTTTACAAATTCTTATGATTTTAATAATTATTATGCTTTTTTCATATCATTTAATTAATATAAAATGGTCAAAATTAGAAAATGGATTTTCGAGAGATTTTGGGAGCCTAAAAGTTTATATGAAATTTGATTTTGAAAAACATGATAGTTTTTTCAATGTCGAAATATTGATGAAATAATGTATGTTTATTTTTAGCCCAGTAAAGTAGTGCTTGCTAGTGGTCGAATCTTCACATCTCATTATGATCAAAATGGAGGTCTACAATATGTTACAACTCCAAAGAAAACTCGACATACTTTTTTAACTCTGATATCCATAGGATTTTATAAATTCTTCTATATCCCTCCAGGAAATAGTGGTCCATATGTTGTACATTTTAATGATTTAAAACAAGCTATAATGAAAATATTTCCCGGTGATCAAGGCAGAGTTCTTTACAGATATAATAATCAAACATTATTGAGTGCTATAGTTTATGGAGGGGGAAAAGTTGAAAAAAATTATAGTGAAGCTGGTTTTGTATCATCAGAGTCCTCAAGTACTTTAGATTTAGATATTCGAACTGATTATACTTACGAGGGTGCCATGCTAACTAGTTGTAAAATACATTATATTAGCAAATTTCACATGACAAACGCTATTGTACATTATCAGTACGATAATTTTTTTCGAATCAAAAGTATTATGTTTCGCATTGGTAGTCTTCAATTAGCTACAGTAGAATATGTTTACAATCAAAAAACTGGAAGAAGAGAACAACTAGGCGTTTTTAGACTCTTTGAAAAAAGTTCGAATGAAACCGTTTTATCTGATGGAACAGCATCTTACAGTCGACAATTTGATGCTTTGCATAGATTACGACAAGTATCTTTAATTATTGTTGATAAAGAAGTATTTCGAATGAATATTCACTATGACAATCGCAATTTTGTGACACAGTCACGAATGTACATGACTCATTTGGGTAAATCAAAAATTCGTCTTCAGAACTTTTCGTATGACGCTGATGGGCAATTAGTTGAAATGGTTGGAAGAGACCACTGGAAATTTACATATGATCAAAATAGTAATTTAATAACTATGCAGTATATGGGGAATAGAATCGATATATTGCACGATGTTGGAGATCGTATCGTTAGTTTCGGTGATACTCCATATGTTGTGGATGGCCGTGGTTTTGTGATCCAAAGAGGAGAAGAAAGTTTTACTTACAATACCAAAGGACAACTTACAAAAGCTTCTAGAAATGGACGATATGACGTTGAATATTTTTATAATACTCGTGGTATGATTTCCGTAAGAAAAGATAATTACGGAAATGTAACTCAATTCTTTTACGCTGATTTATCCAACCCAGATCTAGTCACTCATATCTATAACAATAATGATGGTAAAACAACTTCCTTACTTTATGATGATCGAGGTTTCTTAGCATTTTTAGTTGTAAACAGAGAGAGCTACTACGTTGCAACAGATCATAATGGTAGTCCATTATTAATTTTTGACAAAAAAGGAGAAGGTGTGAAAGAAGTACACAGAGGACCTTATGGACATGTTTTATTTGATTCAAATCCTCACTTTTATTTACCAATTGATTTTCAAGGAGGTATACTTGATCCTTCAACAGGAATGTTGCATTTTGGAGAAATGATCTATGACTCCTTAGCAGGCCAATGGTTAACGCCTAGATGGGATCAGATACTTCATCACGTTACGACTCCTCAACATTTGCATCTGTATAGGTTCCACAAGAATGATCCAATCAACATTGACAAAAGAATTAAAAATAAATTAGGTAAGTTTAGTACTTTTATTAAACAGTTCTCAAAGATTCCGCAGTGGACTGATCATTAAGACACGGTTACCAGCAAATCACCGAAATCAAGCATCACTGGCTGCGGTCAGTGTGCGGGAGGGTGACCACTTGGATCAGTCTGCGTAGGGATCGAGAGTGTGCGGTATTGGTCCTCGTTAAACTGTTCTACCATAAAGTGCTCGACTTTGCGTGCAGGTCGTCGGGCTACCGAAGCGGTGGTGCCACCCCCTCTGCAGAGGATCAAAATTGTGATGGCATATCTTCGGATCATCCTCAGGGATGTTTCCCAGACCTTCACCAATAGCCCATTGTGCAGCTCTAGTGCGACGTAAATAAAAGTACTAGCAAAAATGTTGAGCGCATTAATCGTAAATCATGATCCTACTGGTATAGTTCGTTCACCGGGAGTTGGCACTTGGCTCCACCTCCTCAACGCAGAGTTTACTTCAGTGTTCATATATTCGTGATTAAAATTGAGACAACCCTTAATGGGCTCCAAACAGTGGATTCTTTTTCAATCACTTACTTCGCTTTATAATCTGCTATTTATACCTTTCATTACTCTAGCTAATTAAATACATTTTAAATTTAAAAACTGCTGTTTTTCAAGCAAAATTTCTCTAAAAGGTTAAACTATTTACTCAAAAGAGAGAAATATCATCAAATTTATGAAATATTTCATGTTAAAAAAATGCACATAAAGATTACGAAATAAATATTTTTGCCATATGATGGCCAAATAGCAGCCTTGTTCAAGATTGTTCACATCCTTTTCCCAAAAATAGCGAAATAGTATCGTCGGACACTACGTGATGAAGGCGGAGCCAAACGCCAACTCCTGGTGAACGAACTATAATTGATAAAAGTAAATAAATAAACTGAAGCCTAGTTTCTTTTTTTTCTTTTGATCACATTAACAAGACTTTGAAACTTCCATAGAGTAATTCTAACATATTTAAAGATGCTAGAATTACTCTATGGAAGTTTCCCTCTAATTTCGCATGATCTAGTCTAACAACATGGCGAAAACAGTGTTTTTTTTAGTAACAGAGACATTTTTTATTACAAGAAAATGAATTTCATTCTATGTAGAATGCAATTAAAAAATATTTAAAAGTTGATTTTCAATTTTCAATTAGTTTTAACTAAACCACCACAAAAGGTGTGAACTGTCAGTTGTCACGTGGCACAGCTTTGCTCATTCGCAATGTGTTTAAAATATATACCTCGGATCATTAATTTGAAAATATCAATAAAACAAGATTTATTAACATCGCTTTCAAAATTTTATTCTTAATGTTTGCAGCATAGCCTTCGTTTATTTTATTTTAATATTCTTTCACAATATTAAGTATTCATATGTTAGTTTAATATTCATTCATAATTTTCAGTTTCAGTTATTTCAGTTCATTATATTCTAATTATTTGTTATCGCCATAATAACAAAAGAAAAGAAAAAATTCAAAACACCAATTTTTTTAATCAATATTTACATTTTAATTCATTTTACTTATTTATTTTTAATTGCATTTGTTATGTTTCGACTTATCAATTGTTTTTCTGTTTCTTTTTTTAGTTTCTTTTTAGTTAAGATTTTAGAGGAAACAATATCTTTACTTTTTTTAGTTTATAATACAGTAATGAATTGTAGAATTATTTAATTTGCACCATTCCGTCCAACAATTTTTATGAATGTAAAAAACTTTTAATTTAAGAGTGTTTCATAGATGAATATTTCATTGGTTTATTTAAAAGTAAAAAATAGGGGGACCGGAAAGTAATGTCGTTTCAGTGCATTTGATATTTGTTATCAAGATTTTATTTTTAGTCAATAATGTATTCACACCTCGTTAGCAACAATCTTTCAATGCGCGATCGGAAATGAATCGAAATGGATCGAAGAAAATGAATTGGTTTTTAAGATTAACGAATATTTAATGCGCCGAAATGACATTACTTTCCGGTCCCCCAAATATACAGTCCCTTTTCCACCACATCCCTTATACAGTCCCCCACTAATAACAAGAAAATTATTAGACGCACTATAAGATTCTATGTAAAATCTTAATGATCAGGTCATACTTTACAGCTTTATTGTTTTGACGCGACTAAAACCGGTTTACCCTTGTTTACGCTCGTATATCAATTGGTTAAATTAGGCGATATATAACGTAAATTCGACGATTGGATAAATTGGACTATATATTATATGAATATAGAATGTTTATTATGTCAGGTATTATATTAGTATATTATAATAATAAAGACAAAATTATTAGACGCACTGTAGTTTTTTAATTATTACATGTTTTGCACGAGTATATATGCAATACTTTTATATTTGAACATAAATGTAATCGACTTTCATTCGGGAGATTTTTTATATACTTCCTATTTTTATTTATTTTTAACGTATTGCATTATAATGTTAACCAATTGATACACGAACGTTGACAAATACAAACTGATTTCAGTAGCGTAAAAACAATAAAGCTGTATAGTATCATAGAATCTTATAATGCGGCTAATAATTTGACTGTATAACTATTAAATTTATAATTTTTGTTTTAGATTTACATTCTTGGATCAAAAGTCAAGGCATAGACATCGAGAGCTTAGATTTAGCGGCTCATTCACTTTTTAATCGACTACTTGATAGAGAATCAACTCCACTTTTCTTAGACATGCCATCCGTTCCATTAGTATCTGGATTTGCTTGCGCTATACAGCAAAAACTAGAAAGTTTTGCCGCTCTAACAAGTGTTGCAAGGCCGAAAGTAAAACGGGAACAGCTTTTTGAAACGGTTTTACCGAAAATTAGCACTATGAGTGTTCCGTTTGGAGCTGGTATTACAGTTTCTCGAATCGGTGACCGAGCTTTAGTGAGAACATCGAATGAAGCTGACAACATTTCAAAAGATGTTTTTACATCCGTTTTTAATAACTCTTTCTTATTGGATCTTCATCTTGTTATGCATGGTCAAGACGTATTTTATTTCGTGAAAGACAGAACATGGCGAGTTGCGGATGATTTGAACCAATTACAAAGACTTGGTACAGCAATTAATACAACAGTTCATGAGCCCAAACCTGAAGATATTAAAACTGATAATCATGTAGATGTCCGAGTACATTCCGAGCACGCTATACTTAATATTCGATATGGAACTACTCCCCACAAAGAGAGACAAAGATTATTAAGACACGCTAAAAAACACGCAGTTGGCCAGAGGTGGGCTCAAGAACGCCAAATTATTTTAACTAGTCAAAGAGGTTCTCAAAAGTGGTCTGAAAAAGAAAAAGAACATATTCTGACAACTAGTTCAGTACCAGGTTATAGAGGTGATTATTATCATGATGTAGAACTCTATCCAGAGTTGGCAGACGATCCAGCGAATATAGTATTTCATAAATCGAATCAAAAACAGAGGTGACCGCATTTCGAATGACCTTCCATCGGGTGTTGTTCAAATTTTTACCCCTCATCAGTCTCTTGTTAACTAATGTCCAAAAGTATTGATGTGTTATTTGGATAACTCGTTCATGAGAATAATTATTTTCTACAACCAGCTTGAAATCAACAAAACAGAAGATGAGAAATTCTTATGGACAATCAATACAGTAATACTATATAATAGGCGCAAGAATTTTTTCTATCAAGCTGAGTAAAATAGTTATGCCTGAAATAAAGTATGTTTTACACTAAGAGTATTAGGAAAGAAACAGCAAAAGAGCTTGTGATGCAAAGGCTAAACATTTTGTATTTGAGACTGAGCTTGTAAAAACAAAGGTTGAAGAGGAAAATGTGTATTTCATTACCTCTTTTATTTCCTTCTTCATTAAAATGCTTTGAATTAAAAATTTAACTAAGCAATGAATTTGAAGAAATGCTAAGACCAAGAAGCTTTCTAATTTTCATATTGTTTCCAAATTTCTAAAAGCAATCCAAACGAAATTTCAGTTATGTTTCTAACGTTCAGACGTGTTCACCTTTTTCAGTACAAATTTAATCACTCGAGGTTTTTAAAAGAAAAATTTTAAAAACAAATTTACTCATTTTACATCAGCCTGTCTTCTAATAAAAAATAGCAATAAAACTCATATTTTTATTCATTACATCCGTAAAATCATCCACGATATAAAAATAATAATAATGAATCCCCATGAAATCTTCTTTAATGATTTTAAGAACAAAATTGCGCATTTTACATTAGCCTGTCTTCTAATAAAAAAATAGCAATAAAACTTATTTTTTTGGTCATTACATCCGTAAAATCATCCACGATATAAAAATAATAATAATGAATCCCCATGAAATCCTCTTGAATGAGTTTAAAAACAAAATTACTCATTTTACCTTAGCCTGTCTTCTAATAAAAAATAGCAATAAAACTTATATTTTTGTTCATTACATCCGTAAAATCATCCACGATATAAAAAATAATAATAATGAATCCCCATGAAATCCTCTTGAATGATTTTAAAAACAAAACTGCGCATTTTACATTAGCCTTTATTCTAATAAAAAAATAGCAATAAAACTTTTGCTCCATAAAATAGTCCGCGATATAAAATTAATAATAATGAATCCCCTTGAAATCCTCTTGAATAAAGTTTCCCCATAAAACATAGCAACCTACAATGACTTATTTCAAAAAAGATAAATAGCCTATGTCATGGGAATGGAGGTTGTAATGTAATGTCGTTGGGTAGAAAAGCAAGTAATCTATAGCGTGGATGACCTCAGCGTAGCGAATGGTTCCCAAGTGTAGCCCGACCTCAATGTAAGATGTCAAAAATACGAGATCATTTTCATGGAGTGCTGCAACGCGCTTCTATGATACTGGATAACAAAAGTTTATTTTTTTAAATAAGTTTTTCGTCCATTTTAGGTACATTTTATAAAATGAGGTATTATTTTCATAGAAATATGCTTACATTACATTCATTAAGACACAAAAAAACTTCGTGTATAAAAAATTCTATTTTGTTTAAGAAATAAAATGGTGCGTGTAGGCACCATTCACCAAAACAATGAACGAACCATTTAGTTGAAAGCTTGTTTTTTTCATGAAATTTGCTTCTTTTTTAAAATTTGCTGAATTGCAACTTTAATTCATCATAAAAACATAATGATAAATCTCAAAAGGAATACTTATGCATTTTCAAAAAATTTCATTCGTAAATAACAGTTTTGAGTTTTAAAAAAACTTTAATAGTTTAAAAATTTCTCAGCAGAACGTGTTTACTCCAATTGATTTACTTTTATGTGTCTTAAGAACCTTTGACAATAGCATAAAAATAAAATGAGTGAAAAATATACGTCACAGTGTTAATAAAAAAATATTAATTGAAATGGTGCTCTTGCGCACCTTTGGCTGAAAATGGGTAAATATCGGGACAAATTTTTATATTCAAACATGCGATCTTTATGTTAATATGGCACACCATTTATAAAACAATTGTTTGCAATGTAATTGGTGAGTTGATTTCAAATAGGGTATCTATATTTTTTCAGCAACATATTCATGGCTTAAATATACCTATTTTACATATTCTGAGTAAAATCTTTTTTGTGCTGAATTGAATGTTGTTACATTCAAAGAGTTTAAAAGCTATTAAGGTTAGATATTTTGCATAAGAACATTTTATAATTATGCCTATTAACACTTCTGGTGCTGCAATTGAAGACTTTTTTTGTGCAGAATCGATTGAGACAAAGTAATACAGTCGGACTTCTATTTAACGAATTTCTCTATTTTGCGATTTTTTTTTTGAATAATCAAGAAAATTTTGGAAATTTCTTCGTAAAATAACCTCCAAATAGCTAAGGAAATTTTCTATTTAACTAACTTTTCTTTGAGATCCACTTTTCCCAAAATATGTCAGAACATTTCAAACCTGTTAACGCATTTTATGGGGGAAATGACCTTGAATTGATTTTCGTATCCACTTAAATTTTTGAGAAAACAGTAAAATCCCTTTTTGTTTGCATTTCAAACTCAAAAAAAGTTAACGGATTTTTTCTGTAGCAATTAAATTTAAGAACGTATGTAGCATGATAGTGTAACACTGGATAATTTTTTTGCTCTATTCTTGCTTTTCATGCAGATTTCTTTTATGGTTAAGATTTATAAAATAAATAATAGATACTAGTTTACAAGATAAAGGTGTATCAATTGCTATTTTAATAATGAATTTAAAGCATGTTTTGCGTTGTTTAAGTACTTCAAAAGATGATTTTCTATTTAATGAATTTTCAATATAACGAACTTAATATCATGATTTTGCGACTTCGTTAAATAGAGGTGTGAGTGCATATAATAATTTTAAAAAGTAAAGACGTTTTTAAATATTAGAAATACAAGTTTGCATCTAAACCTGTTAAGATATCCATTATTGCTATATTGAGGCAATGTTTCTTATGTATTTTTTAATGCAGTAAAATAAATTTAAAATCAGTAGAATAGAAAGGGTTTTGTGCGTTGACGGGTATAAATTTTATACATAAAACCCTTATTTCCTTGAAACCATTATCTTATCAATTTAATTTTCTTTTTAGTGAACTAAATAAAAAAAGTGCAAAAAAATGTGTCTCGATAACCGTGTCAGATTTGTAAATATTTCAAAAAAGAATGTAGGAGAGTTTAACACAGTATATTTTATATACTTTTAAACTATCAACCAGATATTGATTTTATTCAATTGAGCGAATACCTTTTCTGTCTGATATTGATCTTCTTAAATAAAAGACATTTAGAAATATCAAAACACACTTAAAAATTCATTTCCAAATAACTGCAGCTTTCGACAGTCATTATGACACTTTTTTTATAGATTACAAAAGAAACATCAAAATTTTTCATTTGAGAACAAGGTGATTTTCTATTGGAAGAAGTTTTTTGTAGATGTTATTTAAATTCTGAGAATAAATATACTTTTTTGTGATACACAGATGAAGGCACTATCTGGCTAAATCAAAAGCATTTTGCTACAATAATTCTTTAATTTTATGTTTTATTCTTTAATTTTATGAACTATGAAACATTTTTACGAGTTTTATGAACTAGGGCTGACTAAATAATCTAAAATTTGAAAGGAATCAGCTGATTGGTTGATCCCAAAAAGATTTATTTTAGAATTCCAGAGAATTATTCCTTTTATTTATTATCAATTAGTTTCGTATCCTAAATCCAAAAGTACTTCGATCCTTATTAATTTCAATATTGAAATAATTATCACGCAATAAGCCTTTTGGCAATAAAGCTTTCACGTATTAAGCCTAAACCTTCAGGCAATAAGGCCTTCACGTAATAAGTTTAAAACATAAATAAAAATTCGTTGATTATTTAGAAAAATATTGTGTTTTCTTAAAATAAATTGTTCTGAAATCATAAGGACTTATTCATAACGCACATCCAAAACAATTATAGAAGCAGCATATTTTTTGCTGAAACAATTCAAGAGATCATTCTATAAATATTCGAAAAATGCATATGAAGTGAAACACAAATGCTTGGCAATCTATCGAAAGAGCTTCATTATTGTGCTTTTAAAAACATTTTTTCGTCTTTGTTTCGTAAGATGTTTATTAAAGACAATATCATATTTATGCTAGGAAAAAAAAGGCTGTTAAAATCTAACTAATCACAAGGCAAATGTTATAAACAGGTTTGATTGTGGGAGGAGATACACTGTTTATTACTCATGTTTTCCTCTACTGTAATTTGTTAGTTTTCAATATTGTTTTTTTTCTTCACTTACATATTAATTTCAACATACATTTTTATTCTAAATATAACTCTTTCATTCATGAAATAACTGACTTGCCAAATAAATTTATATTGTATATTCATTTCTATCATTCTATATTGACAACTAAATTATGAAAATTTGTAACTACTTTTTTCTTATCGTCAAACATTACACCATGTTTTTTTTTAAAGATTTGTGTTTTTTTATTATTCAACTTATAGTAAAAAAACATGAGCGCAGCAAACAATTTATCTTCTTTTTATTCTATATTTTTGTGATTGTGCGTGCTAGGTGAACATAAGTTACTTGTAAACCTTTTTTGTTAACAGCCTCTCATGACTAAATTATTATTTAGAAAGTATTTTGTTCTGAACGAAAATGTTTGTTATGCTACACATTTTCCTCACTCATCCTTTTTGTTATATTTAAATTAGTTGTTATTAAAGATGTGTTGTTTTTAGAAATAACTTATTCAGTATTAACTTGTCAAACAGAAAGTTTTTATTTATTCGCACTGCAAGAAATAATACCACGAACAATTGAATACTGTAAATAAATAAACTGTATTGCTTTTATGGGTGAGTTATTATTGCATGAAAGTTTTTATGCAGAGTATTGTTGATGTGTGTAATACCAACCTGAAATAAAAAATTAAGCTGTTGTTATATAGTCTCTTCACTTTCATACTTTTCACTTCACATCTAAAAACAAATGCCAAATATTAACATCTCTAAAATGTAGTTTTTTAAAAAAATATGATATCATGTATAACATGATATCCTGTAATGAATATCAACATAAATACAAATATGATATGTAATAAATATCAACATAAATGCAAATATGATATCCTGTAATAAATATCAGCATAAATACAAATATAATATCTAATAGATATCAACATAAATACAAATATGATATCATGTAATAAATATCACCATAAATACAAATATGACAGCAAGGGTATTTTATAACCGTCGTTGCACAGCCGACAGAATTTTTGAGTATACAACTACTAATGCTCAACTCCGTAGTTTTGTAATTTTGAACCCAATCTAGAAGACAAGGGAACTTCTGGATCAAGTATTGGGAGCTATGCATCTTCCTGGATTACTTTTTGATGGAACTGACCCTCAATTGCGTTACATGGAGAGGAAAACCACAAAAACCACACACGGTTAGCATGATGACAAGGAGACGCATGATCTGCCTTCAACTGAAGATATTTTACTTCAGCACTGTGGTCGGGGCAAGCCAGTATCGACAAGCCATTGACCTCATTGGAAGGACCTTTATTCGCCAAGCTCTGACCCATCACTGCTGGGAAGAACTGGGAGCCTGACTGTACTCATTTCACACTATAACAGCCGGTAACCTAATTTTGGACCCTAAGGGAAGAGTGTCATCATCTCCAAGCATCTCTTCTTAACGCAATTCATAATGTCCGCTGTTTAAAAGTGCTCACTTCAATCTTTCTAATATCCTCATTTTACGCTCAAATTTTAGAATTGCACATAACAATCTTGTCGCGCTATAAGAGGCTTCATTTGATATAGTTAGGAACATTTTTATTTCCGCTCATTATTATGGTTATACCTTGAACCAACTTTTTATTATGCAGAAAGTAATAACTTCATGGAAAATTAGCATTTTTTATGAACTAATTCTGAATTAACGAGAAAATTCCTATTAAAATTAGTCCATTGGATAATACTCCTTACATATCTTCTCTTCTAAACTTGATCAAAATTAATTTTCGTGCACATTTCAAGTATAATAAATCAAATTTATCATAAATTTAATACCAAGTAATATTTTGTTGGAATATTAATTTTGAAAACTGGCTTTTTTTTCTTCTTTTTTTTTAAAAAAGAAAGATAGTTTAGTATTTATTAGTCTTGTGTTCAAATATAAGCACTTCAGGGTTTCATATATATATATATATATATATATATATATATATATATNTTATATTCAAGATTAATATTAATTTTTTATCAGTAAATAGTTATTATAATCATAAACTCAAGAAAGAAAGACATATTAACTATATATATATATGTATGTATATATATATATATATATATTACGAAAAAGTATTTCTCATAACGCTTTTCAAATAAAAGCAAAAGTTACTAAATTCATTAATATAGAGATATGTTTCTTTTGTAAATCCATTTTACATATTTATGGTAATTCTTTTTAGCTTTCATTTCAACAGAAGTTCAGCTTCGTTGTTTTATTTTTAATTCATGCATATACACCAGATCAATTAATGATAAATCGATGAAAAATCTAATTTCTTTTGAATATTCTTTTATTGGTTAATATCTAAAAATGTTATCTTTAAAAGGTCTGGGAGGGGGGGGGGGAAGCGGCAAAAGAAAGTCGATCATCTCGAAAAAGTTGATAGCTACAGTCTATTACATATATCTTACCGAAACAGATGAGATTAAATAAGAGATAAATAAATCATTTACAGATTCTTAATTTTATGTTGATTATAACTAAGTATACTACAACTTCTTTGCGAATTAATTATGGATACGTTTTGGATTTTTTGTTCAATAAGAATGCACCGACAACAGAAAGAAATGGAATTATATCATTATCCTCTTATGTTACAGTTATTTTCTTCTAATATACACCAAGTGCAACTCTATTAGGACAAATTCAATATCTTGGCGCATTTTCCAGCACAAAATTTAGCATAATTTTGCAAAACCTAACAAACTTCTCCTTACATAGACCTTTATGAGACGTTATTAGGTGATTGGTGGCTCGTTCATAACACTCTGCAATAGAGGGAGATTAGGTTCTATCCAACTTCATCCACTAAATGCTTAATATAATTAATATCTGGGGCTGTCCAGCGTGATAAAGTAAAGTCATGTATCAGAAGTTGGACGCATTGAAAGTTGATCATTGTGAAAAATCATCAGTATATAAGGTCAACACTGGTGTTTTCTGAAGCAAACAAGTATGAATAAATATTTGTTTTTATAAACTCCCTTTTACCACCATTTTTTTATGATGTTTGTTTCAATCGAACCCAATGTAACTGCAGTCTTACTATGCATCGTTACTATTGTGAAGCAACTTTCCCAAAAGGTGTGCCACGAAATCCTTTTGAGTTTTAACATCGAGCTTTTCAATTAGAAAAATTCAAGAATAAAGAATTACATTTCTCTAATACATTGTTAAAAATTCTGAGCCACGTTGCACCGAAAATCAGTATTCATTTGCGGGCTGCATAAAATGGAGTTACCCTATTTTCGTATTTTCACTAGATCCAAATATCAGTAGAAGGCAGTACCAAAAGAATTTTATTTAAATTTATAGTGATAAAGTATTTCCTTTTTTTTAGTAAAAAACGTGCAAATATTTCCATAATTTCTCACTACGTAACTTTAAATGCTGGAATTCAGCATTTAAACGAAATTTGTTATAAATAAAAAAGTACGACTTTTTTTACTCTCTTAGAAACTATTGTACCGAAGTCAGTTTAAATTTGGGATTATATGTCATCAAAATGAATTCAAAAATCTGTATATAATAGTAAATTCAACCATTTTTCGAGAATTATTAAATTTAAATAAAAAAAATGAAAAGTAAAAAAAAATTACTTCCTGCATAGAATTGCAAAGCAATTTTTGAGTTTATTGCCTAGAAACTATTGGACCGATTCCAAGTTAGGATTTAAGAAAATTTAGAAATTAAGAGCAAAAATTTATATGTAATCATTTTAAATGCTTGTGTATAATAAATCAAAATGTTTTTTTTCTATTATTATTAAATTTAAATAAAATGATAAAAATAAATAACTTTTTGTGTGTGTAATCCAATTCAAATTAATTATTAAATTAATTTATGGTAACAAAAAGATGGAAAAAGTCATTTTTGTAAGTATTTATCATTAGATAAACATTTTTTTTTTAATTAACTTGAAAATTTCATTTTTCAAAATAATTGCTCAGTTTCGGAGATATTGCATTACTGGAAAAAAAAACTAATTTTCTCTCTTGAATAAGTTATTTGAACTGAAGATTCCTGGCCAAATTATTAGGCGCACTATAAAATTCTACATAAAATCTTAATTATCAGGTGATATAATACAGCTTTATTGTTTTTACGCAACCGATACCGGTTTGAACTAGTTTACGTTCGTGTAGAAATTGGTTAAATTAGACGATATATAATATAAATTTGACGATATATTATATAAATATAGAATATTTATTATATCAGGTATTTTACTAGTATATTATAATAATTAGACCAAATTATTAGACGTACTGTAGTTTTTTAATTATTACATGTTTTGCACGAGTATATAAGCAATACTTTTATATTTCAACTTGAACGTAATGGGGTTTTAATCATGAGATTTTTTATATACTTCCTATTTGTATTTATTTTTAACGTATTGCATTGCAATGCTTACCAATTGATACACGAACGTGAACAAGTGCAAAATCTGATTCACCCTCGTAAAAACAATAAAACTGTCTATTATCACCTGTTAATTAAGGTTTTACTTTGAATTTTAAAGTGCGTCTAATAATTTGGCCAGGGGCTGTAGTTACTTCCATACTTTTATAAACAAAATTAGGCGAAAAAAAAGTTTTTTTTTTATTTATTTAAACACTGAAAATCTGTGTGTCTAATTTCCTTTTCCTCTTATTAATTACCACATTTAAGAATAAGATTACATGTTGCTAAATGAAAATCTAATATCATTAGATCAAAAGTTATATACGTGTTTTGCTATTAAAAAATAAATAATGCCAGCTTTTTACTAATTCACCCATTAAATAAATTTGCAAGAAATAAAACCCTTGTACATTAAAATAAACCTTTGTACATCAAGCGTCAAATTAAACCAATTTTTATTAAAATATTACTGAATTGTTAATTAAAAAAACGGCGTCTTGGCGACATTTTCGAAAGTCCTTGGCGAAGGAGAATAACCCTTGGAGCGAAACCTGTACGGAATTGTGAATAGTAGGAAGTAGGAAGCAAACGAGCTATGCAACTTAAAAAGCAGGCTCGAAAAAGGGAATCGTAATGAATGACAACAGGAAGTGTTTTTTTTTTCAGTGTTCTGTGTGGAAATAATGATTAATATATCGATCGTTCACTCTTTAATATGGATCGTATATTTTATATGGATCTCGCTCTTTAATATGGATCGTATTAAATAGATTATGATTTCATTTTAATGATTTTCTTTACAATATGGCTTTGAAACAAGACAATATTTATATGAAAGACTCTGTGAGACGTTTTAAGGACATGTGGCTTGATGGTTCAATGGATCATATTCATTTTTTATTAGACTGTTTCGTGGTTTCAGCTGGTTCTGAACCACCTCAACTTGGAAGATATCATCCTCAATCTGATCCTGAAGAGTTTGTTGAAAAAGAAGTTCCTCGTTATAGGGTAATGTCCCCCGATGACATGATAGTCAGAGAATTGTCCGAAATGCGTATGGTTTTGGAAAGACTTATGGAAAATCATCCTAAAGAAGTTGGAGAATTTTATGAATGTGGTATTTGTTTTGATTCACAATGGTTATATCGACGATCATGCTGTTATTTTCCTGTCTGTTCCAATTGTTTACAAATTTATCTTTCTTTCAAGATTAATAATGGTCTCGTCAAAATTGAATGTTGTAACACAGAGTGTAATGTTTTTGTTCACAGGGATGAAATTTCAGTTCGGTTAAATAAAGTGGACAAAGATAAATTTAACAAATTACTAGTGCTAGCTAATCAGGACTTGAGCACAAAAACGTGCCCTCGATGCAGTCACCTTACAAAAAAACACAAAAAGGATAATCATTTTCCTAAGTAAGTACTTTTTGGTTTCTGTGATTTTAAATAATATGAATACATTATTTTATTAAAAATCTATAATTTTATTTAAATATTTATGAAATTCTATTTATATTTATGCACACTTTAATACTTCTCTATTTAAATAAAATTATCATTATAATAACTTTTATCATCAGGTCACCTTAAGCAATGGAAAAATCAGTAATTCTTTGAATACTCCTATATTTTATGTGTAAGAATGCGTAAGTTTGTTTCAAAAATGTTTCGTAAAAACATAAGAAAATACTTACATAATAGCAGATTAATTCTATTTATATTTATGCTCTCATTACTTTAATACATTTCTATTTAAATAAAATCATAATTATAATAACTTTTATCATCAGGTCACCTTAAACAATACATTTGTTGGAAAAATCAGCAATTCTTTGAATACTCCTATATTTTATGTGTAAGAATGCGTAAGTTTGTTTCAAAAATGTTTCGTAAAAACATAAGAAAATACTTAAATAATAGCAGATTAATTCTATTTATATTTATGCACTCGCTACTTTAATACTTTTCTATTTAAATAAAATTATCATTATAATAACTTTTTTCATCAGGTTACCTTAAACAATACATTTGCTAGAAAAATCAGAATTGCAAAGGTTGCATTTTTTGAATACTCCTATATTTTATGCGTAAGAATGCGTGAATTTGTTTCAAAAATGTTTCCTAAAAACGTAAGAAAATACTTCAAAAACTACTTTAAGAGTGGATAAATAAGTTCTTCCTTCAATCTATTTCTTGTCAAAATAATGTTTTGTTAGTTATTTTTTTAAACAAGCATCAAAACACTAAATTGCTTTTTCGAACCACACAGTAATATAACTTATCCGCTATTTGTTTAGAATATTATCCTATCCTATTTAAGCTTATTCTTCATCTAGACGCTTTTTTATTTGTTCCATTTGCTCAATTATTCGTATGAATGTTAATAAGAAACAATTGTTTTTGAATGTTTGAAAACTTTAGAATAACTTATGTTCTTTTTAATCAATTGGCGGAATTTACTCAATCTGTGTAGTGCATTTATTTAGTAATTTTTGGCGTAATGTTTAATGCACAACACAAAGAACGTACTTCCTGAATTCTATGATTAGGTCTTATTCTTAATGTCAAATAAAAAAGCACGCATTAAGTCACCTACAATACAATAAATAAAATTAAAAATAGGACTTTTTATTCAATGGAATGAATAAAATAAATGTCACATAAACAGATTTTAAATATAATATTTATTTTAAGGTCACTTGAATTCCCTTCTAACGGAATAAATTGGATAAAACATCAAAAGTTTTGACAGATCGATTTAATTTTTGTAGTAAGACTTATTATATTTAAATTTTCTTCAATTTTAATTCATTTTTTAAATTTTTCTGGGATATTTAAAATACTTTTTTAAAAATTCAATACGAATCGGAAAAATTCCTGTTTCATGAAACTAACATATTTTAAAATATTTTTCTGTTTAAAATATTCGCAAAATGATGCCCCCCAGACATTCATTTCCCTAACAACAATTTTTTCTTGGCCCCAATATGTGATCTGTATGAACATGTTTTTAATAATGCTTCTATATAGGGCAAATATCTGCCTATATACGGTCAATATAAAGCCTATATTGGCTGAATAATGAAAACTCTATATACGACCGATATTGGTTGTAAAGTGGCTGTAAAATATCGGATAAATCGGACAATTGTATACAGGTCAAAATGTTGGAAATTAATGTCCTTTGGAGCCCTTATTGTGCAAAAATTCATGAATATTGGTCCAATGTGGGCCCTAGTTATTTTGCTGCTAGGGTTGCGCCCCCCCCCTCTTTTTTTTTACTAAGCTTAGTAATTATAAATTTGCATTTGTTGCAGTTTTTGTGGCTTTTTCGTTGTACATTGCGAAAAAAGTGAATACCCTGAGTGACGGGGAGGTCACTGTGTCCTCCCTTTTCGCAATTCAGCAAATTTTGCTTCGAAATGTTATACAAAAGCAAAAATTATCCTCTTCCATTTACATAAATAATAATTTGGAGCATTTTAATTAAGGGTAAATATTTATATAAAATAATAACGAGTATATCATCATTTGCTTATCGTGCTGTCCTTTCTTACTTCCGTATGCGACGACAAATTGTTTGTTATTCGATTCATGAAAATTTTTATTTTTATTTTAATTTATTTACTTATAAAATGGTTAATTATTTCTTTCACTTATTGACTAGAATAAAAGTAAAGCATTCCAGCAACAGCCTATTCTGTGCCAGGAGGTTAAGACTTCTAAATTTCGTGACCTATGACCTGCAATGTTGTCAGAATTGCGTTTTCATTCCTTGTTAAGTTGGTACTCATTGATCTAATGCTTTGTCTTGCTGGGAATTGAATCCCAGTTCTTCACAACAGTTCAAAACCCAGCAGTTATGGGTCAGGGGTATAGTATTTATTACTTAACATAAGCCGTGATGGCTGAGGGGATAGAGCGTTTGCCTCCTAATGAGGTGTACCGGGTACGAATCCCGGCGATGGCTGGTCGATTTAAATTCCACACCCGGCTTGCACCGACCACAGTACTGACGTGAAATATCCTTAGTGGTAGACGGAAGTCCCCTTGCCGTCAGACTAACCGTGGGAGGATCTCGTTGTCTCCATGTAACGGGGTTAGCTCCATCAAAAAGTCCTCCACGAAGGCACCTAACACTTGATCTAGAAGTTCCTTTGTCTTCTGGATTGGGTTCAAAATTACAAGGTTACGGAGTTGAACATAAGTAGTCGTAATCCCAAAAATTGGGTCGGCTGTTATAAAATATAATAAAAAATAAAACAGTTCAATACCTTACTTACTGACCAATAACGGCTCATTTACTGGAATAATTATGCATAAAATTGTTAATCAGTAATATATTGATGAAAAATAGCGTAGAGTGAAAAAAATTAGCAACGAAATACTTTTTTTCTTGAAACTAATGAATTACATGCCTATTCCGTCAAATTAAGAATTTCATTCGGTCCCCTCCCAAAAATATAATGCTCTCCAAAATATAGAAGCACCTGCAATCTGGAAAATCGATGCCCCGGGACAGGAGAACGATCAAAAGTTTGGAATCGTTAATTATGTTTTTTTGCATTTTATCTCTTTCTTATCTTTTTAAGCAAATCGAAACTCAACTGTAATTAAATAATAGTGAAAGTTTTTCAAATTGTAAGGCAAACAAATTTTACATAATTTTAAAAGATGTCCTTTTAAGGACCAAAATACAAATTTTGATCGAATTGAGTCAATAAGATTATAAGTTATCTCATTTTAGAAAGTTGTGTATTTAAAAATCAAATTCCTCAAGAACTATTCAGCCAATAACTCTATTATTATTTCCTCATTGAAAAGCAATGCTTGTATTTTCTCTATATGTTAAAAATATTTCTTCTACATCAGTTACTCAGATTTTTTTACGAGCTCATTCAAAAGTTTATTCATAAATATTTTACAGTATTAACATTAGAAAACTTTCGTTATAAAAAAAAAGCAAGAAATCAATACCAAAAAGAATTTATGAAGAATTATTCCCTGAATTTATACATACTAATGCACTCTTAGAAATTTCTCGAAAAATAAATTTGAATAACAATTTATTTAATGATTATTTTACCATATTCAATCAAAAGCGTCAAATAATCAAAAATAAAATAGTAATCAAGCTGCTAAGTGTGAGAAAAACAGTTTATAAACTGTTTTCAATTAATAGGGTTAAACAACCAGAATGAAGCCACTTAGTTCTATGCAGCTGCGTACTTATCATAGCCGACCGGGCTAATCATGACCATGGTCCCATTATTGACACCACAATATTTCCTCCACTCTTCAACACACGAAGAAGAGCACTCGAAAAGCTCCTATTGTCTAGTTCAGGGCTGTCCAACTGCAAAGAGCCCACGGGCCAGAATTCCGGTCACTGATCACCTGGCAGGCCGCAGTTTGAAAAAGTTAAACAATACCCTCTTAGCTCTTATACAATAACAATTAATAGTTGAATTATTAATTATTAAACAATGGAACAGAAGGATTATAAAACAATTTGCTTACATTTTAATGGGAGAACTGAGGCCGATCAGACTGAAAAAGAAGTTGGCGGGCCGCCAGTTGGACAGCCCTGGTCTAGTTAAATATATTTTGCAAAATGCTAGTTGTAAATGGTTAAAAAACAGTAATTCATGGTTTTATAAGCATACTATTTGTAAATGGTTACAAAATCATCAAAAATGTTAATTGGATGGACAGACATAATTTTAGAACAGTGTGAGTACTAGAGTATCGGGGAGACTTAACTACTCCTGTCACAATTATTTTTAAAATCCCTGTTTTTCATAACTTAAAGAAATGAAAGTGAGCTAATTATTTAATCCAATCTTAACTCATTTGAATGTTTTCCTTCTGAAACTCATTCTTTTAAAAACCATTCTTATTAATTAATTCACTTTCATGCTATCAAAATATTAATCTCTCTATTGAAGCTATTTTCACAGTTTCAATTGTTTTTAGCCAAGAAAAATTTATCGCCATTTTATCAATAAATTAAAGTAATTATTTTCTAACTAGCCAGAGTGCTTAAAACTAATATTTAGCTGAGTGACTGTTGTGCCCTTTGCATTTGGGCTACTTTGAATTGTTAAATAAACGAAAGCAACCAATAAAAGTTTACAAGGTAAAATTCACTATTACTTAACATGAACCGCGTTTGCTGAGGGGATAGAGCGTTCGCATTCCAATGAGGTGAACCGGGCTCGAATCCCAATGATGGCTGGTCGATACAAAACCGCATCCGGCTTGCACCGACGATAGTACTGACGTAAAATATCCTCAGTGGTATCATGGGTTGGAGTCCCTTTGCCGTCAGGTTAACCGTGGGAGGAAGGCTACGTAGTTGAACATTAGTAATCATCAACCCGAAAATTGGGTCGGCTGTTCAACAACGGTTATAT